GTCAGAGAAGGCCTCACAGAGAAGATGACACCCAAGCAGAAGATGTTCTACTAAGAGGTGAAGGACCAAACTATGTAACCATCTTGGGGAAGAGTGTTCCAGGTAGAGAGGGAACAGCAAGCCCTGAAGTGGGAATGTGCCTGGCTTGTTTGAGGAAGAGCGAGGAGTGCAGTGTGGAGGATACAGAGGGAAAGAGAGGGGACAAGGTCCGAGAGATAGCAGGAACGGGGACATATCACATCAGGCCTAGTAGGCCATCATGAGGCTTTCGGGTTCTACTTCAAGAGAGATGGCAAGCCCTCAGAGGGCTTTGAAAAGAGACATGACGTGATCTGACTTAAATTTTAACAGGATCATCCTGGCTCATATGGTAAAGTAAAATTCTATGAAGTAAGTGGTCTTGTCTAATTTCACACATGAGGAAGAGAGGCTCAGAGAAGTTAAGTAATTTACTGAAGTTCCCATTTATCAGCAAATTAGTGGAGCTGGAATTTTAATCCAGGTCTGTGTAATTCAAAAGCTCACACTTTTCCCACTAAATGACACCACCTCCCAGTTGCAAACAGGTTTGTGACCCAGGCTGGAGTAGATGATTTTCTTATAGTCTGCGGTGACTTCTTCTTTCCTTTTTCTATGGAGTTCCTTGGCTTCTTTGGTGAGGCCACTATGTCGCACAACTCCAGAGGACACCATTTATACCATAAGCCTATAAATGTACTCCCTGGAGGTGGGCAGTGCCCAGCCAAAGTGGCCATATGTAATGGCCTTGTTCTCCAGTGAGGTTGAAGAGCTTTGTTAGTGGTTTTGAACTGTGATTAGGCCAGTAGCAAAATCTGTTTGGTCAGACATTTGTATTGGCCCTATTTTGATGTATCTTTCCATCTCTCCCTCCTCTCACACATATTCTGCCAGCTGTCTCTACCACCCTCTGCTGTCTGGCAACACACTAGTCCAACAGTATGCCAGGCTGGGGAGTAAGTGATGGTGAGGCAGGGTTTTCTGCTCTGTATGGGCAGCCTAGGCCCACAAGTGTAAGAGAAAGCCTGAGAGAGTATAGGATGTGAGCAGGTGTGCCTGGCTTCTGATCAGAGGAAGTGAAATACATTTTATTTGATGAATATCAAATTTAAGGAAATGACAAAAGGTGCTACCTAATTGTCATCAGAATTGCAGCTTGGTTTAATTTAGACTCAACCAGATTTTCTTGTAAGCCTTAGGGCCCAAGGTTTAGACTCTTGAGCCCTTCCTTGGTTTACATTGAAACTAATTTTTTTAGTTTGTTTGAAAAACGTTGCTTAGACTTGAACGATTCAATATATAAGAAAATACCCTGAGATTTAGAGCTTTAAAATGAAGTTTTGATTCACCATTACTTGACTGGGTGACTTTTATGGACTTATGTCTTGTAAAACTGTTTAGCATTTCATGTTTCAGAATTCTGCATAGTTACCTCAATACCCTAGAGCGGTTTGGCCTATTTTTTGTCTAATTACAAAAACTGAGAGAAAATTATGGCAGTGTCCCTTATAAGATTAACTAAATAATACTGTGATGATCTGTATAAAATACTAGTGCCAGGAACGTAATGCGATATTGGGTGAAGACAAAGGTGACTTGCCATTTGAGTCTTTAAGATTAGCAATAGTAATCACAGAACACCAGATCAATACAATTACAGCTGCTTTTTAAAATGTATTTTTATTTCCTTTAAATGATTGGGCAGTAAGTACTAAGATCAGACTTTGCACTCAGATCTTATTTGAGGTTCACTTTGAAGGTTTAGGTGAGGAAGGGCTATGTTTGGTGGAAGGTGAACCTTTGTTTTTGTGGCTGCTGCTGGCAAAAATGGAGTATGCAGAAAACAGTTTGGTGGGTCCTCAATAGGCTAAACATAGAATTACTATATGACTCAACAATTCCACTCCTGGCTATATATACCCAAAGAATTGAAAACAAGTATTCAAACAAAAACATGTACATGAATGTTCGTAACAGCATTATTCACAATAGCCAAAAGGTGGAAACCATCCAAATGTTCATCAGTGCATGAATGGATAAGCAAAATGTGGTACATTCATACAATAGAATATTATTCGGCCATAAAAAGTAATGAAGTACTGATACGTGCTATGACGTGGATGAACATGAAAACATGCTAAGCAAGAGAAGCCAGACACAAAAGACCACATACTGTATGATTCCATTTATAAGAAATATCCAGAATTGGCAAAGCTGCAGAGATAGAAAGCAGATTAGTGGCTGCCAGGTGGGGAGAGGGCTTGGGGTAAGAAGAGAAGGGGAGTGACTGCTTCTTTGGGGAGATGAAAATGTTTTGGAACTAGATAGAGGTGACGGTTACACAACATTGTACTAAATGACACTAATGGTAAATTTTATGTTATGTGTATTTTACCACAATAAAGGAAATGGAGTGTGCTACTTTTGAAAAGATTCTTCATTCTTGGTGAAGCCCATTAAAATTTGACAGCGTAGGGTGAATCCTAAAGAAGGGGCACGTGGCAAACGTGGGGCAAAGTGGTGGCAGTCACTTGAGGTCTGCGGGACAAGGCTTGTACTTCCTGGTTGGGATCCCCGGGACCTTCCTTGTGCGGGCACAGCAGCCACAAGGGCCACACCAGCAGCTGCTCCAGGGCCCCTGGTGTCCAACAGGACTGAGGGCGTTTTAAGTCTGGTGCAGCTTGTTTGAAAGTCGCACATAAAGACATGGAAAGTGGAATGCTGAGCTGTTTAAAACCCAAGCATACGGAAACCCAGCAGATAGAAATTTTAACAGCAGTGAGGTCAGGATAATTTCAGTTTATCCACTGAAAAGGAAAATAACTTTTATGACCTGGCGGTGCTAGAATAAGTTTAGTTAAAGGTGCATGGAAAGTTTCTAGTTATTGCTGCACACATTCCCTTCCCTTGTCCTTGGGAGTGTGCCACTGTTCCTCTTCACACTGTTTTCTACCCTCAAAAGGAAAAAACTTTCAAATGGTTTTTTCTCTGACAATGAAAGTAATAGTTGATTATTATAAAAATTCATAAAAAGCAGAAATTTTATATATATACTATATCTTTAGATAGATAGATAGATAGATAGATGGATGGATAGTTACAGTCATGCGCCCCATAACGACATTTCAGTCAGTGACAGACCACGTATACGACAGTGGTCCTATAAGACTAGTACCATATAGCCTAGGTGTGTAGTATGCTATACCGTCTAGGTTTGTGTAAGTGCACTCGGTGATGTTTGCATAATGACAAAATCGCCTAATGACGCATTTCTCAGAATGTATCTCCGTCTTTAAGCAACACGTGCCTGTATAAAGAAATCTCAGCAATCAGGGATAATACTATAGATATTTTGGCATGTATCCTTCCAGCCTTTTTTTCTATAAATATATATGTACTGGTATCTTCCATTTCACTGGGATCATACTACATTTATCAGCATAGCGTGAACATTTTTCATACCAATAAGTACCAATCAACAGCATACTTTTCATGGTTGCATAATGTTTCACTTTATGTGTGTGTCATGACTGATTATTCCATGACTATTATTCTAAATGAGCCAGGGACTTTCCTTGGATTGGTTCCTCTGTGGTCCCTTAACCCTCTGTCAGAGATGGTTGGTGACTCATGGTTTCTGAAATTATTTTCTCTTATTTATGCTGGTCAGTGATAGCCTTCAAAGCAGAGGTTATGGATGGTGAAGGGAATAGAGGTCTATAAAAAATCAGCTCAGAACTCATTGCCTTTAGGAAGCTTTCCCTGACTGAGCCCCATTCCATCTCGTCACTCTCTCTTCTGTGTCCCCAGAAGAGGGGCACAGTAGTGTGCAGGAGCATGGGCTTTGGAGCCAGACTGCAGGAGTTTGCATTCTGGCTTTCATGACTTGGGCGATATTACCTAACATTTCAGTGCCTCAGTGTTCTCATCTGTAAAATAGGGATAATAATAGTTAAAAAAAAAAAAGTGAAACAAAACCAAACCCCAGAAACCCTGAGAAGTGGATATAGGTGAAATGCGGTTCCTTCAGATAGGTTAATATCATAGCTGTGGGCTTTCCTACACTCTGTCTAATGAAGTTCTTAACTGAGGGAACCTAGAATTCTTAAATGATAGTGATAATGACAAGAAATATATAAGAGAACTAAAAGCCATTGTTCTGAAAGACCAGTTTATAGCAGAAGAGCATATAAAATCTTGTATTCCCTCGTTTATTCAGGATTCTTCAGAACTGAAGTATTTCTGGTAAGTAGATTTTCTAGATAGTGGAAGCTTTTCATTTAATCACCATAACAGTTTGCATTTTAACCATTTTGATGTCATTCTTTCTAATGCATGCTGCATGGTTTATAGCTTTCATATAGAGAATATATTGAAAACAGTTCAGCCAGTTTGTTAGGCTTTGAATCCTCATCGTTGATAAGTTGTGTTAATATGTTGTTGTCATTTGTTTTTTCAGCTCTGCCAAATAATGTGAATGCCATTTGCCTTCTAAAGGCTCAGACAACTGTACTCTTACAGAGCTCTTTTCACTTTTAACTTTTTTCCCTCATTTTTTTTCTCACTCGCAGGGTGTGTCAGTTTTTACTTTTTCCTACAGAAATGTGCATAATTGCTTTCCCCATCTCCAAAACACCTTTCTAGTTTACTGATTTATAAATTTTATACCCTGGGAAACTGGAACCCCCAAGTCTGTTACTATTTTGTGTAAAGTAAGATTAGTAGGCATTGAATGAAAACATGTATTTAGTGACAGGTTTTTTGACCATTTAAGGAGTTTACAAAATTTACTTCCTGGTTGCAGGCTGTTATCTGCTAGGAGTTTGGCTCTGGGCAAAATGCCATTTGGTTTATAAGCTATAGTGCTTATGGTTTTCCATTCTAGCACTGCTGCCTTCCTGTTGCTCATAAGTTAAGTAGGGAAATTAAAGAAGAATGTTCTTAGATATAATTTCATGAGTATATTTCTGTTTTCTTTACAGAGATATAATTATGAGTCTAACTGTTGGGAAACTCACAGACCACGAAGTTATAACCATTGCACGTCACTACCGGGTGCCCGAGGACACATGTCCAGATATGAATGTCCTAATTCCACTGGCCCACCAACAGCTCAAGAAAAATTCTTTTGAGGATTTTGAAAGACTCATTGCTAACTGTGTATACCAAGATCGAGAAAAGTAAGCTTTTATTTTATTGATTCTAATAAATCATTTAAGTTTCTGTTAACCTGAGTAATGAAAGAATTGATATTTTATCAAAAAGGGCAAAAAGAAAATTGATGTGTGTCATCATACTCCACTATTTAGCAAAGCCATCTTAAATTATTTTTGGAGAGTATCTAGGTACAAGTATTTCATAGTGATGGTGAGCTTTGTTTGTTAATGGATTAGGGGAGGCCCTGCATCTTCAAAAGAATAGGATGCCCCTTTGCATTTTCTTTTAATTGGTTTCTAGAAACTTACAACTGAAACAGTAAATTAAGATGTTAGAAGGTTTAATTCTGAGATGTCTTTTTCTTACATTATTTTAATGATAACTGGGATTTATAAATGTGCCTTTTATAATGAACAGAACAGGCAATTTGCAAGTAAACTTTCTATAAATTTCCTTGAAATGATTTCTTTTTGAAAATAATGAAGCTCAGCATAATCTATTTCTAATACATTTATCATGTTTGTATTGAGCTTTATTAAGTCATTCTTATAAAAAACCGGAGCCTCATCTTAACATGTTTTGGTGTTCATCTTACCCACAGACTTGATATAGTGGGGAGAAATACTCATCTGGAATTAGAAGACCTCAGTTCTAACTCTAGCTTCTAATTTTGTTACTACACACCACTGCCATCTCTCTTCCCCATGACCTCTTCCCTCATCTCCATACCTGAAGTCTGCACCCAAGTGGCCAGCTGCATAGCCTAAATATCTTCGAAGGTCTTATAGTTTATCTTAATAATGAACATGATTTTTTTTCCTAATCCATAATATATCTTTGTTGAGTTTTTATAAAGATGGCATTTTTTTTTCTTGACTCTTTAAGCTTCCCTGAGCCTCCTAAAGGATGTGTGGCCTGAGCTTTGCGTAACCCTGGCCCTACCTTGCACCCTGGTGGTACCCCTTCCCCAGAGTGAGAAGTGTGACCCTCCTTCACTAAAGGAACACCTCTTGGGAATAATGGGGCTGCTTAATCAGACAGCTCTGAGGTTCTTTCAGATCCAACAAGCTTTGATTATAGACATAAACATTCTCTCATCATTTTGTAACCTCATTGCAAAGAAAGGAGCCCACTTTCATTCCTGTTGGTTCTAATTTTGCCTGGTGCCTGGAAGAACATTGGCTGGGTGAGAACATTGGACAAGCATTTCTGTGTCCCCAGCAGGCTGGGGAAAATGACTGTTGGGCTGCTCTGGAGAAACCATCTGACGAAATTGAGGTGAATGTTAAGGCCCCAGCTGGGGCTTCTAGGTTATAAGGTTTGGGTCCAAGGAAGAGACTAGAAAAACACCCTCAAGTCATATAATACTTGTGTTGGAGGCTCTAGATGCCTGTCAAATTAGGAGATGTTTTCAAATATCAGAACCATTTTTGACTAGTGGTCAAGAATGCAGATCGATTACTTAGAGCAACACTCGTGGCTGCAGCCTTAATAGGCTGTACTATCACCAACCGAGACTCTGAATCTTGATAGAAAGGCCTTTAAAGGACAGAATCTGGTGACTTCTGAAATGGAAAAAGCTGGTGAAATGCAATATGATTGTTTTTTCTTACTGTGAATTCCAGTACCAATTTTCACCATTTATTTCCATGTGCACATTTTTAGGACACATCTATATTTTCTTTCCTATAGCGTGTAATTAGTTACTTGAGAGGCACAAAGTATCTAAAAGCCTATTTACTTTGTTTTAATGCAGAAAAAAAGTATTACCCAGCAAAGACATCAAAAGGCTGTGCAAGTCCTCCAGGTTACCTTTGACTGATGATCTTCTGGTATCCTTACTGTCCAGGTAAGCAAGAACTTTACCCTTCATGGGGATTGTCCTGCATATTTTTGTTTTAGGGACTATTCCTGGTTTTACATTTACCTTTAATTCCCCTTGATTTACCCTTGACGTTTTGATTATGTCATTGATGACATGCCTCTATTTAAGTGTTACAAGAGGAAAAGTTAGCCATGATTTTGATTGTTAGAGAGACTATTATGAATTATTATTTTATCTCTTTTTTTTTGTGAGGAAGATCAGCCCTGAGCTAACATCCATACCAATCCTCCTCTTTTTGCTGAGAAAGACTGGCCCTGAGCTAACATCTGTGCCAATCTTCCTCAACTTTATGTGGGATGCAGCCACAGCATGGCCTGACAAGCAGTGCATCAGTGCGTGCCTGGGATCCGAACCTGGACCACCAGCAGCGGAGCACGTGCACTTAACCGCTATGCCACGGGGCTGGCCCCTATTTTATCTTTTTAACGTTAACACACACTAACATACACACAGGTTCTGGGACAAAATGAAAATGCACAACTTCATTGGTTCTGAGGATATTAGATGTAAAACTCAGGGCAGGTTTTCCAAAGCAGTAGTCCCTGATGGCTAAAGATATGCCATAAGAGGACCTAGTGTTACTAGCACAGGGCTCTATCATGCTAGAGCACCAGATGTAAAGCACAGAGATTATGATGTTGCAAAAGGAAACCATGGTGAACTGCTTTCCAAAACACATCACTTCTCCTGTTGGACCTGACTTTTGACTTCCTGGTACTACCCTCCTAGCCACCCAGACTCTGGTCATCTTTTATGCTTCCTGTGACATTACTCCAGCTGCTCCTCTGACTTACTTATCTTGATAATTCTGACATTTTGGGCTGTGTTCTAGGCATTGTTATCATTGCTTTGAATACATTACCTCATTTACTTTGTGAGAACAACTTGGTGAGGTCAGAACTATTGTCCTTCTATCTTAGATGAGGATGCTGAGGTTTAGAGAGGTGAAGTGTTTTGCCCAAAGTCACATAATCTAGAAGAAGAAGAGCTGTGACTTAACCCCTGAACCTTTCAAATGCACATATCCGGCTTCTAACCATTTTGAATTATTGTCTGTAAATATCCAGCAGATTGGAATGTCTTGACAGTTCTGCCTCCTTCCTGCTGCTTGCATCCACTCTTTCCTCTCCATTCCCACTATCTTCACTCTTATTCTGACCCACATTTGTTCTTGACTGTTGTAGGGCCTCCGTGTTGGTCTTTCCTCCACTAGTCTCTAAATTTTTAAATCTATCTTTCATACAATAGCTAAGTACCTTCTAAGAGCAAAAATGTCTTAGTGTCACTCTTCTACTCACAAACCTTCTGTACCATCTCTTTGTTCTCTAAGGAAAGATCAAGCTCCTTAGCTTTGAACTTCTTCTCTCCCTTCTCCATCATGGGGCTTAGGGTTGTCAGTTGGAGTGCTGTTCTCAGGCAGGGGCTAGAGTAGAAAGTTCTCATCTGAGATAAAAGGAGAAACCAAAGGAACAGATAAAAGTAAATCCCACATGGGAGAACTAGGGTCCAAGGTGTCAGGAGGGGAAACAAGAAGAGGGCCAATCCAGTTGGATGTGTGTGTGCATTGGATTGACCTGGGGTTATTTTCTAGACTATCAGCTCTATTTACGTTTTTGTTTTTGTGAGGAGATCAGCCCTGAGCTAACATCTGCCAATCCTCCTCTTTTTTTGCTGAGGAAGACTGGCCCTGGGCTAACATCCGTGCCCATCTTCCTCCACTT